GCAATGACAATAACCATGCGGTCGCATAGTGTTTTTTTGGTGGCCGAATCTCAGTTTTCTTATACGATTGAATCTCTTATGGTAACCTAATTTTCACGGGATATAAATGCCCAAAACCACCCAGAACGAAGGGAGACGCCCCTAGACCTATTTTTTTCATCTTGGTGCTCAAGAAACTCCATGGAAAACTAAGGAACTCGGTGAAGCAACGAAGGAACTCATTGGATTTGGAGATTTCACGTCATAATTTCATGTAATTCGAACTCTCTTTGCTTAATAATTTCTAGATTTGGATTTTCTCGTTATGAATTAGTATTGAAATTTGTTTAACTTTTAATAAATTTCTCATGGATTCAGTCATGCTTTTTCCATTGTTAAATTAAACTATTTGTTGAGTTTCAATTTAAATTACTTATTGTTGAGATTATTTTAACTTTTATCAAATCCTTCATAGATCTAGCCATGCTCTTTCTATCGAATGATTGAAATAATTGTTGAATTTTAATCTTAATATCACTTTATTGGCGGATTGATTACTGCCTTATGCCTAACGTATATGGTCGATTTTTGATCTTGTTCCAATAAAAATGTGCGAATGTGTTATAGAAAATCTAGATTCTAGAAATATAATTGGAATAAAATTGGACTTCACTGTTAAATCTTCCAATTAGAGAGTTGGGAAGAAAACCTCTAATTGAGTGAAAATACAAGAATTATTGATGTTGATTGATCCAATCCAATGGGGGAACTTCGACGCTTCACTAATTCGCATATTGATAATTAATTTTTATTCCAAGTGACAAATCATTCCCACATGTAATTACGAAAACCCTAGTTTGTTTGATCTTTTGAGAAATTTTCCATCTCCCTGTGGATACGACACCCCAAAGCTGTACTACAATAACCGCGTTATTTTTTGGGCGTAATCAGAACTCCTGAAACTAAATGGTGGGCTCCTGGATGTTGTGGAAAGAGGCGTCATTAGGGGTGAAGATGCCCCTCTCCGTCTTCCAGACCCTTTATATATCTAAGGTAACTGTCGGGAGGGGGAGGGATAAGACCTGGGGATGGTACTACCTTACTTCATGGGGTTTCTACACCCCATTCGTGCTCGATCTGTCGAGCTCCATCAAAGAATGGAAGAGCTCGTGGTGTTAGGCCGCAGGGCGATGAGACATGATGGAGGGGGACCCCCTGGCACCTCTTACGGTCCCGACGAAGTATTCAACACTTAGTGAGTATAGTAGTTATTTTTCTTTATATTTCTCTTAGGTTCGAATCGTGTCTAATATTTGCATTTCCTTTGTAGGTGCTCTTCCTCGGTACGAGCTGTCATCCAAGGACTTCGAAACCATCTGCATCATTTATCAGTTGCCTCAAAAGAAGAGGTCTTACCATAGGTCGATCCGAAAGAACATTCACTTCATTACCCACGACCTGATGGCATTCCAAGGTAACTGCACCGAAGTCTTTACCCTTTATTCTGAACTCTCAACACTTGTACTAATTCATAATTCGTTCTTTGCAGACAACTTTAATAAGAAAATGCCCGTGCGCCCCGACTTTAAGACCATCCAGAAGATGATGGCAGAGGCATGGGCATTGAAGGCCTCTTCCTCCTCCTACAAAAAGCAAATGGAGGATCTAGAGGCTTCAGCCTCCGACGAAGGAGGAGGTACCGGAGGCTGACTTTCGGAGGAAGGGCAAGAAGAGTGTCGCCCTTCCGAAACGCCCAACTGTGGCGAGGCTACCCCCTGCTCTGAAGCAAACCACAATCCCAATCGGGGTGGCCATTCTAGAGAAGAGGAATGCTCTATCTGAGGCTTCCACTGCCCCGGCTACAATACCACTTGCTGCTGTGCCAATTGCTCAAGTGTCGGGACAGCAGAAGAAGAAGAGGCCCCGTCCCTCTAAGGAGGTCGACTTTTTGGGCACAAATTCGGAGGAGCCGGTGAGGGAAGTGTTGGAGGCCCTTCCTCCAGAAATAGTTGTAGTGGCCGTGGTCTACAGCAAATACTGGACCGAGGAGTGGAGGGACCACATCGCCTCGTGCACAGCTGAGGACCTGGTGGCTGCAAATAGCGCTTGTGTGGCTCGGGCCCTGAGTACAAGCATCCAACTTAAGGGCCTAGTGAAGGATCTGAACTCCAAGAGGAAGGACCTCGCCAAGCGCCTCGAGGAGGTAATGCACTATGGGGATGCCGTGCGAGAGGCCCAGGCCAAGGCCACGCAGGCGGAGGAGGGAAAGAAGGAGGCTAAGACCCAGCTAACTGTCGCCAAAGTAGAAGTGGAGCGGCTGAAGAAGGAGTTATACGAGGTGGAGTGCCAAGTGGCTGCTGTGATTCGGCGACTTGATCACGGCAACGATCACCACAAGCTCTCCACCGAGGCTTTGGAGGCCTCAAATAAAGAGAAGGCGGAGTTGAGGCAGAAGGCAGAGGCTCAGTCAGAGGAGATTGCCTCTTTGAAGGAGGAATTGAAGTCTGCAGGGGAGGTAGCAGTTCAGAACTTCATCGACCACTTTGAAGACCATCCCCTGTATGACGACTTCGCCAATTTTTGGGCCTCTTGGAGTGCCCAAAACTTATTGGGTCGATTGAAAGAGGTACACCCCACTTTGGACATCTCCTCATTGGAGGCAGAGTTCAGGAAACCAACTGGAGGTCGGCCTGATAAACTTGCTGAGGAAGCTCCGGAGGCCCCGGAGGCGGCCGATACAGAAGTCCCTCCAGCAGAATAGGGCCATCTTTTGTAATGGCTTCGGCCTTCTTGTATTTCAATTCATTAAATGAAATGAAATTTTTTGTTAAGTATTTGTGCTTCTGATTTTTTACCTTTTGGATCTGTTTATACTTGTATGAATGACAAACATCAGACTAAGTGTCTCGTAACAATAATCAGTTAATAATTGAGGTTTGGACCA